CCCTATAGGTATGTCGCATCAATATAGAATTGACAGACTCTGAATTAGATGCCAATTGACAGGATTTCAAGGTGATAAAAAAAATCACCTAAAAGGGGCTTTAGGACCTAAGTCTTTAGCCTAAGGATTCTGGGTTTTAATTGAATTTAAGATCTAAATTAGGCCTAAGGGCTAGGAGCTAGGAAGATCCTAGTATCTAGAACTCAGGAAGGAATCAAGAGTGACCTCATATAAAAATGAGGTCAACAGTGTCTTTTGATGTTATGGAAACATAAGCACAAGCCATTGTTGTTAATCTCTCAGTTCCCATCTTGGGAACTTGGAAAGTTGCCACTGTTTATGGGAGTAGATGTTGTAAGGAGAGGGGAAGTCTTTGAAAGCAACTTCAGGAGTGTATGGAGGACTCAATTCCTTCCATTATTGGAGGGGATTTTATTTGTATCATTAGTAAGGAGGAGAAGAGAGGAGGCAAGAGGTTCTTGTTTTCAAAAGGACCTAGGGAGATGAAGAGCTTTATGATGAATTCAGATTTTCATGATATTGGAAGTGTTGTACCAAGGTTTACTTGGTGTAACAACAAAGAGGGAACCTATCGGATTTGGGAAAGGCTGGACATATGTATGTTAAATTCAGCTGCTAGTCAGAAGCTTCCAGTTGCTACTATCAAGCATCTTGCTAAAGTGGCGTCTGACCATAGTCCTATTGTTCTGAATATGGGAGATAAGGTGCAGTTCAAGGAAAAAAACTTTATGTTTGAGGACACTTGGAGATCTTACCCAGCAGCTAAGAGTGTTGTTTATCACTCTTGGAAGAAGAATGACTGTGGTGATGAGTATATGATCTTATAAAGGAAGCTTAGCCAAACATTAAAGGCACTATTTTTTTTGGAATAAAAATAAGTGCAGTGCAAGGATTTGAATTTGTTGAAGGAAAAGTTGAAGAAAGAAATCCTTGAACTTCAAAACAAGGAAGCTTTGGGTGATAATTGGTCGGTTGATGACCTTTTTGTGCTTAGAAACAAAGTTCATGAACTTAATGTCACATTGAGAAGATTGTCTACTTGGTGGAATCAAAGGGCAAAGGCAAGGTGGCCTGAGGAAGGAGATACAAACTCAAAGCTTTTTCAGAATTTTGCATCGGCAAGAAGAAATGGAAACCAAATTAATCAGATTAGAGATGAGCATAATGTACTGCATGATGATGAGGATCAAATTGAGAAGGTATTCACACAATGTTTTTGAGAAGAAATGGAAATACAGAGAATGTGAGCTGACGGGATGGCCATTGGTTGCTGAAAAATAGAAGGTTACAGATGAGGATATGGTGATGCTTAACGAGGATTTCTCTGTGAATGAGCTGCAGTTCTTGGTTTTCCAGCAAGGAAACAACAAGGCACCAGGTATTGATGGAGCTACATCTTCTTTTTACAAGAGTTATTGGAGTATTATTTGGGAGACTCTATGGGGTGTTGTCAACTATTTTTTCAAATCCAGCCTTATGAATAGGGAGTGGAAGGATACATTAATTGTTTTGATTTCTAAAGTAAAATACCCTCTGATTCCATTGAATTATATGCCTATCAGCATATGTCAGACTAATTACAAGATTGTGGCTAGTATGCTAGTTAACAGATTGAAGAAGGTTATTTCCAAGATGATTTCTGAAGAGTAAGTAGTGTTCATTCCTAGAAGATCCATTTCAGAGCATTGTCTTTTGGCTGAAGAGATCCTTCACAAGTTCAAAATTTCCAAGAATAAGAAGGGGTTGATGGCTCTTAAATTGGATATGGAGCAGACTTATGATAGCATTGAATGGACAACACTTCGTCAGGTTCTTAAGTGATATGGTTTTCCTACTGTTTTCTCTAACTTCCTTATGGAATGTGTTGTAGATGTGAGGTTTTCTATCACCATCACTGGAAGGAAATCCAAGTGGATTAGGGATCAAGGTGGATTCCGTCAAGGGTGTCCACTTTCTCCTTATCTCTTCATTTTGTGTTCTCAACTCATGTCCAACTCTTTAGAGAAAAGGGGACAAACTCTTGGCATTCAGATTTTCCCTAGAGGCCCAAAAATCACACATCTCCTTTATGCAGATGATGTGTTGATTTTTTCTCATGCTTCCATTACTTTAGCCAAGGCATTGAAGATTATAGTGGAGGATTTTTGTAAGTGGACAGGGCAAAGAGTTAATGTCAGCAAATCACAAATGTTGTTCGACAAGGTGGTTAGTTACTCTATGAAGAAGAAGATTGCTAGAGTACTCGGCTTCAAAGTGGTCAAGGAGATGAAGTACTTGGGAGTAAAGATTTCCCTTAGTAGGCTCAATATGGCTGATTTTCAAGAACTTATGAGTAATGTCATGGATAGACTCAACTCTTGGGGTAAGAAATCTTTGTCAATGGGAGGTAAGCTCACTCTCATTGAAAGCTCTTTGTTCACTATGCCAAATTTCTCAATTACTCATTCTTTGGTTCCCAAAAGAATATTGCATGAGTTGGAAAAATTATGTGGAAGTTTCATTTGGCATAAGAATCATGGGACCAATGGTATGCATTATATTGCTTGGGGAGAAATTTGCAAACCAAGAAGTATGGGTGGGCTGGGCTTGCATTCTCCTTTATTAGGAATTGGCTCTTTAAGATCTAAATTGGCTTGGAACTATATTCAGAAGCCGAATTCATTGTTCCATCAAACGATGAAAGCTAAATATGGTGATGATGTTATGAATGGTGCTCAAAAGAAGGATACTTCTAGTGCTTGGCAGATTATGTTGGATGGGGGAAAGAATTTGAAATTCGCTGTTAGATGGAAGGTGGGCAAGGGTGACAAGATCAATGTCTTGAATGATTCTTGGTTTCTTGATAAAAGCATCAACTGGTGGCCAACGTATGTTGATTATGATGTGCTGGATGGTATCTATGTACAACAGCTTTTGTTAAATAATGGTGAGTGGAATCTTACTTTGTTATATAGGGCCTTTCATCCGGATCTAATCTTATTGATTAGACAAATTCATATTGAGTATGAGGAGGAGGATCGAATGGAGCTGCTGAAATTGTGTTAGGGTAAAATAGTGTCTGCCTTGGTGTATGAACAATTGCTTCTCAATAGATGTACCTTTGAAGATGTTGAGTTTTATCGCTGGGTGCAGAAACTTAAACTTAGTAAGAAGGTTGAGATCTTCTGGTGGAGGTTAGGTAAAGTAGCGATTCCTACTAATCTGTTTCTTAAAAATCGCAGGATTACTGAGAATGCTTTATGTGCTAGAGGCTGCCAAGTGGATGAAACGTATGAGCATATAATGGTTCATTGTAAATATATGGTTGAAGTCATTATGAAGATGTGTGAATGGGGTATTCTAATCCCTGTTTTCAATTCTCTGGACTGCTGTTTACATGAGCTGAAGAGATTATCAAGTTGTAATTCTGGTATTGTCAAGGTTTATTGTACCATTGTGTATCTCTCTTGGAAGAATCAGAATGATGTAAAACATGGTAAGATTGCCTTGCCTTGTTCTATGGTTGCTTCTAATGCATTATTCTTAGCCACTTCCAAATCTAGTCCAAATATTACTAACTGGGGTACTAATATCCTTAGGGAGTCTCAAAATACTTGGTGCCCTCCACCGAAAGATTGGATTAAGATTAATGTGGATGCCTCTTTGCTTAGTTCCAATCTTGCTGGTATTGGTGATTTTTTTAGAGACCACAAAGGCCGGCTTATCAGTGCATTTGGGAAGAAGAAGGCTCATTGGGATATTGCCTAGCTTGAGTTATTCTCACGGTGAAGGAGTTCCTTAGGAGTTGGATGTTGGATTGCAAGGGGTTGATCATTGAGAGTGATAATTTCAATATTATTAAATTCCTCCAAGACTCATTGAAGAAGAATAACTGGCTTGTGGATAGGTGGCCGGCAAAGGACTTATGTTTCTTAAATGATTTTAATAAAGTTGTTTTCCATCATGCCTATAGATGTTGTAATAAAGTAGCTAATTGTTGTGCTACTTTGGCATTGGAAAGTTGTTTTTCTTATGATAGTTTCTTTTGAGAACATCCCTTCCTTCTTGATGGATTTAATCAAGGAGGAATGTGATCCTTTTATTACTTGTAACTAGTTCTTTGTTTCTTTTTAATGCAAGTTGTTGCAATTCTTCAAAAAAAAAAAAAAAAAAAAGTCGAAGAAGAGTTTTCCATGGTGGGTATAAACTAGTCTCATCATCAGTGAGAAGTCATCACCCTTGACCGAAACCATCCTTCAACACCCCATTCCAATATGATTCAAATTACCGAGTATCAATTCTTATGATGGGAAATCCAACCCATACGAGCATATCGATCATCATAGAACCATCATGCATATCCAATGAGTCTCAGATGCACTACTATGCCAAATTTTCTTTGCTACCCTCAAGGGACAAGCACGAATGTAGTTCTATTCACTTCTAGCTAGAACATTCCCCAGCTTTGTCAAATTGTTTAAAGTATTAGTGGAACAATTTGTCGGAGAATTGCTAAGGATTCTTCCCACCTTTCTGGGATTTGTCAGAATGAAGGTTAATCACTAAATGAGTATTTTCAACAATTTTCCATTGAAGCTCGATAAATTCCAGGATTATATCCTAAATTACTAAGAGGAGTTTTTCATGGAGGCCTCGTCCTAGTCCCTTTTACTTGGTATTTATGCAAGACTCGGTTCCTTCATATCTTGACCTGATCCACCGTGTGGAGGCACATATATCAGCAGACAAAGCTATCAATGCCCATAGAAAGCAATTTGAGCAACCTTCCAAAAAATGCAAGATGATCCAATAATGGATAACACATTCTCACAGTAAAAAAAAATAAGGAAAGAATAGCCTACCTCTTAGACCTCCATGGCCACAATAGAAGTTTTGATATATCACTCCCTGAGGCCTGGAGTTTTGTTGGACCACTACCTGACATCGTTGCTATGCTGGACCAGTACTTAAGGGCCTTAGTCTCGCTGGACCACCACCTGAGGGCCTTAGCTCTGCCAAACCACCACCTAAGGGCCTAAACTCTACCGGACCACCACCTGAGGGCCTAAACTCCACCAAACCACCATCTGAGGGCCTGAGCTCCATCAGACCACCACTTAAGGGCCTAAACTCCACCGGATTACATGAAAAACTAGGGAAGCCAACATAACAGGAAAAATAATCAACCCAAACAGATGCAATAAGCAAAAGGAACCCAAGACAACAACCCAGGTAACCAAGATAACATCACAAGAAACCAAGATAACAACCAAAGAAAACCAAGCCAACAACCAAGGGAAACGAGCCCAACATAGCAGAAACCCATTTTTCCCCATAAACGACTTCGCAATCAATTTAGAAGAGTTCTTATAATTGCAAATCAACTTTCAATGCTTTCATAAATAATCCAGCATTTGAACATATTCAATACCAAATAGACAGCATCACAAATCAACTTTCAAAGCCAACCAACCTAGGATCTAGGGCAAAGGAATTCAACTTCCAGGCAACCAACACATCATCCCAAGACTAACATAAATTACATAAAATCAACCCAGCAATTAGGCCATCAACCAACCTAGCAAACAAATCCAAATAATCCACTGAGAGTAATAACAACATGACTTCAATACTTAATGTGTTGATGAACATTAACTCAGCATAACAACTTGGGATGTCAATAATTTATAGGATATAATCTCTAATAATATCATAACAATATAGCAGCATTAACTGAATAGAAAAACCAGCATAAATTGAACATAAAAACTAGCACATCGAGCTCGACTTGGCTTGTTTGCACAACAACTATAATTGATTAAAAACAAGCAAGGATTGAACAGAAAAATCAACACAGACTGAACAAAAAATAACTTTGAAAATAGATTTAACTGAACATCACCTCAAACTTTTTGGGCAAAAATAATCCCAAACCAGAAAGCATGCCAATGCAGACATGCATGCCAAACTTTACCATATTTTCAAAAAAAAAAATCAATATAATATTTGAGATAACAGTAATTCAGCAAGACAAAAAGAAATTAGAAAAACCCTAAATCCAAAAATTTCTTATGAAACTTCAGAATAATTTGATCAAACAGCAAGACAGTAAGATAACCCTCTACTCTGTTCATAGATTAAACTTCTAAAAGGAGAAAAATAAAAATAAAGATAAGAGATACAAACAACGAGAGATGTAAGTGTTCATGTTGAGCCAAACGAGATGTACACGATGAACACCACGGACTAACAATATGCCAGAGAAGGAGAAGAGAGGAAACTGCTGACAGAGCAAGGAGTTCTGAAGAGAAGAAATGGAAAGTTGGAAACCCTAGATGAAGTAGTGAAGGGGGAGGAGATGTTGAAGTGGACGTAAAATGAATACGCCAGATTGCGGAGCCCTAAGTTTATCCCATCGCATGAAATGAAAGCACGGGTCAAAATGGTGTTGACTTTTTTTCCCCATACCTAGATTAAAGAGTTGACCTGGTCAAATTTGACAAGGCTAGACCCTAAGACCCTTCTCAATAGGTTCAGGGAGTCAAGCCAAGTCTGCTGAGGCCAAACCCAAGTCCTGGGTCAACATAGTTGACCAGGTCAACTAGGGTTGACCCAAATTAACCATAATTCCCTTCTACTTGGTTTGAAATCTACTCAGAGCTTTCTTGGCTCAATCTCTCCCCTCCACTCGACTCAGTGGGCTAGGCCCAATCCATTAGGCCCAGACCTGTGCCCTGGGTTAACCTAGTAGAAGGTTTTGGGAGCTCCCACAGGCATGTGTGGCGAGAGTTATGAGCCGTTGATATTAGGTCTATGGTCCAGATTGAGGAGAGCCACGATTTCTCATAACCACACGGGCCGCCGTCTGTTTAGATCTCGGTCTGCCGAGATCATGACCGACCACGCTATCAGTGGACAGTCCAGCGGTTGCGACAGGATGCTGATGCAGTAAGTGAAACCACGTGGGTCCCGTTGCTGATTGATTATTCAAAAATGATTAATGGTGGCCCCATTCATTGCCAATGATTAGGCATCATAGCTGCTTTTTGAATGGGCCAATCACCGTAAGCCACGCGTCCCAGAGCCATTTTTTTAAATAAAATAATGATTTTAATTATTTTTAAACCTATTTTAAATTTAATTTCTTTAAAAAATATTATAAATTATTTTAAAATAAAAAAATACATATTAAATATTAAATTTTTCAAAAAAATATTTTCTTTTATTTTAAAATGATATTAGTTTAAAAATTATATTTTATTATTTGATATTATTATTACTATTATTATTTAAATTACTTTTAATCATTTTAACCTTCAATAATTCATATCTATTTCATTTTAAATGCATTTTTGATGCATAATATCTCAATGTTTTTTGAAAATTATGAATTTTAATTTAAAATTATTTTTAAATTGCAAATTTTTATTTCTAATATATTTCCTGTGTTATTTAATTAGTTTATATTTAATCCTTATTTAAATATATATTATAATAATTATTTTAAAACTAAAAATTATTTTTAAACATTTTCAAGTCCTCGTTATGGTGGCCAGTGGATCTCCCCTATATGTATTTATTACAAATTGATTTATTTTTAATTACATTATTTTTTTAAAATTTATATATTTATATGTATTTTTAAATTATTTTAAAATTACTTATATTTTAAATTCCCTAATTTTGGGAGATTTACTTTGTGGAATTTTAAACATAACTCATTCATGGGAATTACCTTCATGGGGGAGTGGATTAGTAAATGATTGAGTCCCAATCATTAACTAATCACATTATTAATCGTGGTTAGTTATTCTTTTATTGTCTCTTGCATGTGTAGGATGAATGAGCATTTAGCTTAGGCTCTCCTAGATCTAAGGATATGATGTATTTACTTCTTTTGTGTACTCCCTACCTTGTTATCTCAAGGGTTAGTCCAAAACTTTACTTTAAATCCCTTTAACGTAGCGACACTCTAAGGATAATAATTAAGGACCCATCTAGAAAACTTAGAAAAATTCTATTAGCTAGGATAGATCCCTGATTAACATAAAAACTTCAACATTTAAACTTAGTGACATTTTAAACCTTCCAAAATTTTTTAGGATTTTTTAGGACTCTTTAGACCACTTAATTAACCAACACTAATTTACTTATTAATTAGGATATGATGCCTTCAAAAAATTCTAATAAATACATTTCAACTTAGAAAATTATTCATAATAGCTCAAACTGTTAAAAATTTAATCCTTAACTATAGATAATTAGGGCTCCTTAGTTGGGCCTTAATCTAAACCTTAATTTAACATTAATTCAAAATTACCTTTTTGCCCTTTTTAGATAATAAAAATTATTAAAAATTCTAAATTTTTTCCAAATACTTAGGAATACTTTCTTAGGTTATTCCTGACCTTTGGGGGTGATTCCAATTAGTTTGGAGCTGATTTGGATCAAAACCATAAAATCACTCATAATTAAGCAATTTTAATAATTCCTTTAAATGCCCAAAACTTCTAAAATTCATATCTAGGCATAGGAAACTCCAAATCCAGCAAACTCAAAGCTTAACCACTCACCTTAAGGCCTATTATTTATCTAAAATGCTAGATCCCCCAAACCTAGCCCATTTCTGATAGTGACCTTTTAGACCCCATCAACCTAGTGTATATGAGGACCCGGGACATTCCCAAAATTGGTTAATACAACTTAAACTTCAAATATCACCACTCTAAGTATTAAAATTAATCAACCAACTAAATTAACTAAAATAG